TATCCCTTTTTTTCCCCACCAGTATTCACCCTTTTGTCATCGAAGGGATCTCATAAATGTGACTTTAGTAATAAGTTCACAGTAATCCCTACATAATCACAACTGTAGTTGTAGACCTTTGTCCCCTAAATTAGTCTTTCCAGAGATGACGGAAATTGTAGCATTTAGGTGAATTGCTTGTTCCTCATGTAGTCTCTCATTGTTCATAATTGTTTCATCCAAGTGAGGTGTTTAGCTCAGGGTTTGATGTGGCGAGTCCAACCTGACTTGTGACTTGCTGTTCTAGGAATGACACTGGTATGTTCTAGTGCATGCTCCAAACAACATGATTAATGCACCAACCCTACTTTACTGATGTACTATACAGTTAACTTTCATGTACTTTTGTTCTGAATCTTTGTCCCCTCTGCTACCAATCCTTGTAATATTGCATGACACTAGATTGTAGTAGAGGGTCTTTTTGATTTTCTAAAACAAACATTAGGCTTCTTAAACTGAGAAACCTGGAGTGATAGACCCATTGTTATACTGAAAGCTGAAAGAAGTATTAATGCTGCACAGCTGTCCCCCGTGGGGAGGGTCTTGCCCTTGGTGTGAATTTGGGTGGGGGGCAATCAGCAGAAGACCATCTGCTTCTCTGTAACTGGCAGTGGGGGGTGACTAACAAAGAAAACTCTGCTCTTCTGTATTTTCTCCCTTGTAATGTAAACAGGCATACCTTCTTTCATCTTTGTGTTTTTGTTTCAAGGCGGTAGAAGCTGCAGATAATTAGCTAATGCACTTGTAAAAGATGGGAGGTATTGTAATCTTGGGGGTTACACAGGGTTTGTCTGCTGGTTGGTTGTGACAAAAGATTCTTTGAATAATTATGATGAAGTAATTTGAAGATGTAGGTTTAACCCAGCTAACCAAAACTTTCCAGTTAAGCTTGCTCATACACCCATCCTAATAGCTGAAACTTGAGCTTCAGTGTCTGTTTGACAGACTGAACAAATGTTTTGTCAGGCCACAGCACAGTGCGACAGTCAAGCATCAGTCTGCTTTCTTATGCAAGTTTATATGCATAGACTTGTCGCTTCCCCCACGCTTCCTGTTATGAAAGTGTGTTAGCGTGGAGACAATTGATTGAAAGTCTGTCCGTTTACTGGAATAAGAGTATCTTGTTCACGTTTTTTAGAACAGCAAAAGTTCCCCTTTTCACTTTTGCATACAGCACGGTGGAGATACTTCCACACATGGAATCACAGGTTATCTGAACTGCAGATTGCCACGCATGACCATTTAACATGAGGTTTCTCAGTGCATTATTGGAGGGAACGTCCATATTATGTCTTGAAGCTAGTAATGGTGAAATGTTGAACTTTTGTACAATAGCTGAATGCTGTGAAGTTTAAAAGGATATATTCAAGACATTCCTTAGAGTTAGTCTAAATGTTTTGAATTAACATTTCAGTTTTGTTTTTCAATCTAGAAACATCCTCTCTGGATGATGATGATGATGATGATTCTATGAAATAGGATTGTTCTTTACAAAAACATTTTGTTATGCCTTAAAGGTTAAGCACAGCAGTTTATAGCCTATACTTATATATTTAATATATGGAACAAAAAAGTAGCCAGATTATTCATTGTATATTTAGTCCTTTTTGACGCAGGGAATTCAGTCCACAGGCTATTTTATTTTTGTTCTACAAATATCCATTGAAATCCTTGTATTGCTGCTAAATGATCAAATTAAACCAGGTCATGGAGAAAAGTGTTTTCTGAATTCAAATATGATATGATATAATATCGCTATAATGGACTCTGAAAAATAGGTTTAAATCCTATATCCAACATTGCTAAATTACTAAGGGATTAACTGGGTAACACCTCCCCTCCTGCTTAGCTCAGGTTTAGGGTCCTGCCTGAAAAAGTAACGTGGAATAGAAATATGCTGGCAGTCTGTTCATATGTAGCCAACGACAAAACCACAAGATGATTAGCCTAATGTCCATGATGTGTATCTGTAGCCACGGAATCAACCCCACCAGAAGTAAATCCACTCTATTGGGGCACCAGGATTATTGAAGGCATGTTTTTTTTTGTCATTAGAAAGACAGCTTGACTTCTAAATCTGAAGGATTAGGAAAGATGAAAACAGAAAAGGAAAAACAAAAATATTTACAAAAGCATTGTTTTTGGGGTGTAGTTTAGATTTAAATCTAGATTAGGGATCTATTTTTGTTATTCCAACAGAGATATTATTGACCTCTAAGGTGAGCTCACTGACCAGTGAAAAGAAACTATTAGCAGCACTGATCTGGTTCTGAAAATTGTGGTGTCTTATACCTTCTGTTTTAATCCGAATGTAGTATCCATCACTAGGCTCTGCTCTGCTCTTTAGCACATCTTCAGATTAATCCGATAGCATATGTTGTAATTCTGAAAACAGGTTTTTGATTTGTTCTGTTAACCAAAATTTGTTGATACTTTTATACATAATGGATTATTTTTATCACTTTAAGAAAACGTAGAGTGCAGTGTGAAATATACAATGGTCAGTGTTCTATTAATGCTGATGACATTGTTCTAACAGAATTCTATTTTGCATAAATTTGATTTTTTTTCATAAATTCAAAATAATTAGACTTTGTCTTATGTGAAAAACTTCCAAGGGAAGTTTCTTTAGAAAAATAATGTAAAATGGTACTGTAAGTCACCTTTTACCTAGTCCCTTGTGTACTCCTACAGGGTTTACACTGAAAGTTTTGATATGCGCAAAGTTTTTATGAAACTGTTCTATGGTGGAAATTTTGAAACCTTTACATGCTGAGGCATGTAATTGCTCTTTGGCTGCATATTTAAAGTAGAGGTGTAATGTTTTGAAGTCCCCAAATAAAATCTAAGACTTGTTTTTAGAAGATAAACTATGTCTTTGAGACAAATCCATCGTCGGAAAAGCCTCTTAATCCTGGTAAGGGTTGCAGCTTCTGGGGTAGGCTCTGTGTTGTACCAGGTGGAAGGCAGGAAAGTGCCTTGTATGGCACACACACATTGATAAATTTAGAGGCACTAGTTAACTATCCAGCAAGTGTTTGGAAGGTCGTCAGAAACGCAAACATACTGTACAGGGGAAAACATGCAAATAGATCCATAAGGTTTGCCAGTCTAGTATTGAGCCCACTACCAAAAAGACACTAAAGTAGCAGCTGCCATACCACTTTGCCACCCTTAAGACCAGTTAACATATTGCTTAGGTCAAAAAAATTATCTAATATTTAGGTAAATGCACAAGAAGAGTTTTAATTTGGTAATGTAAAATTCTGACTGACTTTATACTAATGACTTCTGTACAATTTTATGATAAGAGACAATTTTCCAACACCATTTCAACTTTTGAATTTTCAGTAATTTTCAACTTCTATTTGACCACCTTTAGTGTTGTAAAACCTCAAGGACTGGTTTTTTTTTTTTCCTGGATTAATATGTTAAATTGAAATGTTTTTTGCTACATTGCTCAGCCCTTGTGTGATCTGGAAATCACCAAAGGCTTAAGTAGAAATTCTTCAGTATGGTTTATACAATAGTGCCTTAAAAAGCAGCTTTTAAGTACTTTCAAAGCACTAATGGTTTACTTTTAGTGATTCATATTTGTGCATCTCATTACAAGCTTTGACACTCCTTTTACAATTGTGTCAAAGCAAAGACGGGCACAAGTTTAATGGACTTTTTGTAATAAAGGCCTTAATCTCCTTTAAGAACCACACCAACAAAAGAATAAAATGTATCATGTTGAGTTGATTACAACACAGCAATGAAAGTGATCTGTTTGATTACATACGGATTTAAATCAGATACTAGGAAAAATAGGTCTAGTTCAATCTTTTATTCTGTATATTGAGACAAAAACAATCCAGGGTGCCACTTTTTCTAGGAATTCTTTGAGAAGGTTCCTAACCTTTTGCCCTTAATATCATACTTAATACTTTACTTTGTACTTAATGACAGCCCCTTAAGGCTAATTGGAAAAATTCCTTTTTTGATGTTATTCTTTTTCATCTTTTTTGTTTATTCCCCACCAGGCTCTTTTCAGATCTCACGTCTAAATGCTAATCAGACAATTTGTACAGTATAGTCTGTGGTCTCCTGTTTATTCTTCTTTCATCATTTCTAGTTATTTCAAAAGAGCATTAGATTGCTTTCTATATTGTAAAGATGCACTTGTTTATTATTGATCAATAAAATGACAGCAAACAACTGCTATTGATTATGGTACCATTTAATTCAGAATGTTTAACAGCTTTACATTTTGTGTAAGAACTTAAGAATATTAAAAAAAAATTAAATACATGAGAAAATGGAAATAATGCTGGTATATAGATGCTTAAGGTAATATAATGTTCACCAAATACACCATATACAAAGGTATAATATAGGGCTACCAAGGAGAGGCAAACTTAAACCACTCTAGAATGAGAAAGCTTCCTATTTTTGGTAGATAAAGTAGTCATCTCGGAATCAACTGTTTTTTTTTTCTGGTTTTAAATGGATGCAACGAATTTTGAGTCCTGTCAATGCTAACCTCACTGATTTATTTATTTGAACAGGATGTTCCAGGCCATTGCCCATTCCTCATGGCTCAGTAAATCTGACCGAGACGAACCGGGGCTCGTTCCCTGTTGGCACAGCGCTGCAGTACAGCTGCGAGGTGGGCTTCACCATTGAAGGACCCAGTGCCATCACCTGCACCTCTGGGGGGAGCTGGTCCGACAACCCCCCTCGCTGCATCCGTGCAGATGGTGAGCCGGTTTCCTTGAGCACTCCCCCTCAGACTGGTGTTGTATAGCAGCATGCACTTAGGTCCTGTTTCCCTCCTCTCTGAATGAGACTCTCTTCTCATTACTCAGTTAATGACCAGTAAGGCCAACATTTCTACAATCTTGCACTTTTTTTTGGTGCTTCTTCTATGAAATTTTAGAGAAAAAAAGCAAAGTCAAAGCAAAGTATAAATGATTTTTTTTGTCACATTTGGTTTTCTGTAAAGAGAATTTTTGCTAAAATATCTTAACTATTATGTAGAGTTAAGAAAAATAAGGTTTCCTGGTTCCGAAAAATGACTTACTAAATATATAAAAGCTGATGTGTGTGTTGATGCAATATATCAGGAAAAACAAAGGTTATTGTTTTCAGTGCCATTTCATGAATAGAGCACTATACATATAATGTCCAATTATAAAAATATATTAAACATTGTTTTGTTTATAAGGATGTATCAGTCAATCTGCCTTCCTTTTAAGAGCCTTTCTGTTTGCAGTATGCCGACCACCTTTTGAGCCAGAGAATGGGGGATACACATGCCACCCCTCTCCCTGTCATCGGCTGGCCCAGGGCACTGTGATTGAATATTTCTGTGACGAGGGCTATGCATTGAAGGGAGAGTACAAATACCTCACCTGCCAGAATGGAGAGTGGGACCCCACTATGGAGATCAGCTGTCTGCTGGGCCCAGGTCAGTCTATTGTTTAAATTCTCTGCAGTAAAACGAGCTGTCAGAAAGACTGGATTCTAGTTTGCCATGAGGTGCTAAACCTTTCTGTGGCATTGCAGCTTACCATGTTTACATACTGGCATTAGAAGAAGTCCTAAAGATGTATGGAATCTCAACTGCTGAATTTATTTCCTTTAGAATGCAGCTAGCTTCAAGTCCTTATTATCCCAAATAGCGTTTTGATAATGAGACTGTATATCAACATGTATTTCAACACATGGGCTGGTGTTTTCTTATGAAAAATATTTTGCTTCATTACATGCCTCTTAGTTTTAATTTATGACTAACACACTGCAAATGATTTCTTGTATCTCTCCGTCTTTTAGATAAAGAGTCACATTCGCCACTGGGTGTGCCAACTCTATCCATCGTGGCTTCTACAGCCAGCTCTGTTGCCCTCATTCTCCTGCTGGTTGTCTTGTTTGTACTGCTGCAGCCAAAACTGAAATCCTTTCATCACAACAGGTACAAACCAGCACCTCATTCTCAAATTCTTCCCCACTTCTAAAACAAAAAGGTGTGATAGGCAATTTCACCAATGCCAAAACAAATATTTTTAGCTTAGCAGGACTCCAGTTTTCCCAGCACAGGAATTAGAGTTCTCATTGTAGGTTCTCAGTTTACATACCGATCTCATTTACTTCTTCTCCTAATACAAGCTACTACATTTACCAGGTCTGATATCAGACTCCGATACAAGAGACTTTTGTTTTGTCACATGAGGTTTCCTCTTCCAAGCTTTAAAAAGCTTGGCTTACTTAACATAAGAAGCTACCAACTTCAGGCATAATTGTGTATACCTTTTTGCTCAGATTAATTTTCAACTTGCCCTAACTAGTTTTTCTCCTACATGCGCAGGCGTGAGCAGGGTGTGTCTGGTGAGCCGGTCTCCATTGTGGTGGAGGGGGTGCAAGTATCTCTTCCCTCTTATGAGGAAGCAGTGTATGGCAGTGGCGGTGCCTTTGTCCCGCCCTCGGAGTCCCGCGTGCAGATCGTGCTTTCAGAGGGCCCCCAGGCTGAGGAAGAGGACCCCGTCCAGCCAGAGTGCAGCCTCCCCTCCACCTCTCACCACTCTGAGACTGTTCTGGTACACCAGGTGCCCTCATCTTCTTCATCCTCTTCCTGGGCTCCTGAACCCACTGGTGCTGCCCCTCTACCCCAGCGCCAGGACTCGGAGAGCAGCGATCAGCACAGCCTGCTCTCCCTTACTTCCACAGAGGACTTTGCTGATGGTAAATTCTTTACTTTCTCAAAGATGACAATTATAAGACTCTGTCACACCATTTCATAATAGCTTGGCACTCTTAGTATTGTCCTTTCTTTAAGGAGCTAAAAGTAGTCTTCAATGAGCAAATCAATGACGGATTCAACATCTCAAATGCTGATAAAATACTCCTTCCCTTATTTGGATAGACGCTTAACTGCTTACCCAAGTAATCTGTTGCTTTCTCAGTTTCCCTCAGCCTAAACCTCTACATCCTTTTAGAATTTCTTTTCTAATTCTATCCAGTTTTGGTTCCGTTACACTGCTTTACCTGTCAGCTTCTATATGGGCAGTTCCATGATGTGAAGTCTGACTAATTGTAGGTATTTATACATAAATACTGTAGAGAGATGGCAGAAAGAGAGCAGAAAAATGCACATTATGCATGCCGGAATACAGTGTTATAATTATAATCCTACTTTTTGCACTGAAAAAATTTTTAAGATTACAAAAGTGTAAAATCATTTAAAGATATATTAATGTCTGGATAGCCTCATAATAATCAAAGCATATTTAAAATGTTTTCTCTCTTTTTCCTTTAGATATTCCTTTACTAAAGGAAGCATGAAGTCGGCTAAAGCCAGCAGTCTTCACTGAGACCGTCATTGCTGCTGCCTCTGTGGTTTACCTAGGCTGTGGTGTTTGAAGCCTTTGTTTGAATCGCCCACAGCCAGCAATCCAAAGGACAGCACACAGACTTTCCCCGCAGAGATTTGCTCCTCGCCATGAAGAGCTCTTACTGTAGTCTAAGCCTTCGAGGGATCGGCTTACCTCACCTTTTGGTGAAAGCTTCAAGCAAACAGCAGGCACTGAGTTGTTGAAGCTTAAAAACCTATAAACAGAGACCTTTTTATTTTTTTTTGCCCACACGCTTTCACAAAGATAACCTTTGAGGCTGTGATGTATATCAGTGATTTATAATAGTTGTAGAAATGTAAAACACACTCAGTCTACAAGGTTTTCTGCTGAAATCTGTATCTGCCAAATTTAATTTCTCATATGATAATATATAACTTTTCTGACCTTGTGAACATTATTTTATCATGATCTTGAATCACGGGTGCCTGTTAAAGACCCTCACCCTATCTTGCATGTACACCACACTTCACAGAAGCATCAAAGCTACAGATGTGTGTATCGGTACCCTATGAATGATGCATGAAGGCTCAGTCACCACATTGGCACGCATTGCAGTATCTGAGATTACTCACAGCATATGTACACTTTTATCAGAGTACACAAACTGTTTAAAAAATGTATTGATCCACAAAGAAATCTGAGGATTTCTTTACTTACAAAAGCTGTTTTTCCCCCCATCATTTTACTTTCAGTGTTACGGGTATATTAAATCTCCTGCCCTGTAGTAGAAACTAAACCCTGCCTGTGTTTGCTGGAGATGGATTACCACACCAATTTTTGCAATGAAGATGGCTGTCTTACAAAAGAAAAACTGATCTCGGGCTATTGGCCTAAAAACAGTTCAGTGTTTTGTAAAGAAAGGGATCCATTTTTAATTCTTGTGGAAAGCAGCTGTTCCCCTGTTCTATTAATGTTCTTTTTTGTGTGTTTACACAAAATACAAATATCTCCCATCACATGATTGTGCTTTCTTTGTCTTTTAAGGCAAGGAAACAGACTGGAGATTGTGTCCTAGAGGGTTGGGTATAGGGATGAGGGAAAGTTCTCCAAGAGCTTTCCCTTACCTTGTAGACCTTCTTGATGCTGATTTTTAATTTCCTCATAAAGAGGAATATAGGAGCAAATAAGCCTTGCATCTTTCTACCCCCAGGGATTTCTTAGAATAAGCATTGTAGGATCATATTGGCCTGTCCTAACCAATGACCACTTTAAAATGACCAAATCCGTGCAACTCTGACTGACATCTGACATCAATATTTATTTGAACTCTCTGTGAATTATACAACTGAAACAGTTTCCACTTTTTTCGGCTGTGGAGTTGTACCTAAAATGCCCCATACATTAATGTACAATTTCTAAATGCCTGGGTTGATTTTTTTTTTAACGATTAATTGTCAGAATAGGTAATGGCCATTTTTTGTCTTGAATTTTAATTAATGAATATTTTTGTAATCTGCAACATGTTTACAATTTTGTCCTTGTATAAAAAGAAAAGTAAGTTATTTTTATCAATATAGGTTATTGATCAACATGGTGTTAAAAAACTTCTAGTGCAGTACAACTTTTTTTTCCAAATGTTTGTTTGTTTTTCCATATGCCCTTTGAGTTAGGTTATGTCTCCAAGACACAATTATTTCCTGTCAATGCGCTCATAAAGTGCGAATGAAGAGGCTCTCCCTCTCCGAGACGTCAAAAGCATGGCTCATATACTTACCATTTATTGTAATTGCTACTTTAATGCACAGTGCTGTATTGTAACATTATTTTAGCTTCTCAGGGCTTGAGGTTGGCTAGGAAGTTTTTCTTGGTCTTTAAAGTGCTAATTTTGTGATACTCATGCTTCAGGCCATATGAAACGTGCTCTTTTATATCTTCAGGCTGGTGCAAGTCAAAGGTGGGTCAGCTATTTGCTTTGTTTTCCAATTACCTGAGATGCCTTGAAAGGCAAAGTAATCAACAATGGCCAATATGGCCTTAAGTTATGTACAGTAGCTTCATATATGCAGACTTGCTCTTAATATATGACCTTACAAGATACAGACTTAAGGATATTCTCTAATGTGCTCTGATGGCCTTACTTTTCTTTTCTATGCATTAGCACTGTCTTCAATACCAACAGGATTTTTTTTTAAATAATCAAACTTAAGTAGAAATATCCTAGCTGGTGGTATGACTGTGTACACAATATTTCCCAAAGCATTATCAAAGAAAGCAACTTCAGAAAGAGGTTTATTCAATTTATTTAACCTGAGAGCCTAAAGATGTTTGTCTTTTAATTCATTAAAAAGTTGTGAAATTTAAAGAACCTACTGCTCTTGTACAGTGATTTGCTGCAATTATTTAAAGATCACATTTCCAATACTTGTCATTTAATGTTCTTTGCACCACTAATGGACATATCTGGACTTGGTACTTGTATGTTTTCAAAATGGAAAAACTGGTTTTAATGACAAATTTGACAATGGAAAATTGTGTAATTAATGATGTACAGAATGCTAATCATTATTCTTTAAAATCTTTCAATTTTTTGTTTTCCTTTGGGACCCTGTACATTGCATTGGGTGTGAAGATAGTATTTTAATATTTGTATAAAGTTTAATTTAATTCTACTGTGTATATAACTATTTCTAATTAAAAATTTCTTTTGAAGTGTGCAATTGTGTTTTTACATTTGAGTCCAACAAGAAGTTTGATAGGAATGATATATTCTGAGTGGTGGAAAATAATGTTTTGATTATTAAATATCAACATGGAAGTTGTTGAATGGGGGATGTTTTGGGAGGTTACTGGCTGCAGATGGCCCATTCCTGCTAAGTGGGATTCTTCATCCCTTGGGATTTTTGAGACCATGGCCACTTCCTTTATAGACCACCAGATGGCATTGGTAAAGTGACAACTGACACCACACAAGGACAGCTAATCATATTTTGGCCATCCAGATGGCTCATAATACACTTATTTTTGTCCTCTTTATGATCCATGTACACCACTGCACATCCTGCCATACACACCAGCAGATTGTTGGCTTTACTTTGGACTTTCAAGACAAAGGTGATATTTCGTCTTTTGGTTTTTCTTGACAATTATCCTGCTAACAACTTCTCCCAATATTCAGTAGCTTGCCCGATTTTCCCCCCTGGTTTCTGCTAAATTCCAATGTAATACTTATGCTGATCCTTCAGTTCTGACCTGTAACTTCTCCTAGTTAGCAATAATCCTTATGGCATTCCAGGAATGTAACTATAATAGTTCTTATGATGCAATTCAACCATCATTGCCTTAGTCTTTGACCTTGTGGTGGTGCTAAATGATTTGGGATTCCTAATCATGGGCCTGGAGGCCAAGACCTGCTGCTTTTTATTTCATGTAGGCTTAATTACTTAACTGAGCTACCAGGTTTCCTCATTGGAACACTTGGCCAATTTTGGTTTCTGCTCGTGGGTATGGAATTTTTTCTGTTATTGATTAAACGCAGCATTTAATAAGTGACATCTGGCATATTTGCAAGCTGCCTCCTGAACCAGGTTTGGGGACCTGCAATTGGGTTCAGCACTTCTATTTCAGTCTTTCTAGTCTTTGCTCACGCTAATGATTGACAATTGATTATAATTGACACTTGATTATAAGTGATCCTTAACACCTCAGTTAAGCAATTATGAATTGATCCTTAACTTAATACAATAAGCAACACCATGCAACACAGCGAAATGAAAGTGCATAAGTTAACTGTTGTCTAGATTTCACATTCAATAGAAACCTATTTAACTAGTTAAGAAGAGCTGCTTTCCTAAATATTAGTGTTGGATCAACATGCTGGTTTATGAAGCTTGCAGTTCCATCTAGTGGGTAACATGAGTCTTTGCATGGCCCACGTGGAGGAAAAAGCATTATAAGTGTTAGGTGTCTCAGCACACCGCACAAAACATGGCGGAGGCTCAAATACAGGAATATACACTATAATGGGACAAGATATGTTTCTAGACTACCATAATTAACTGCAACCATTACATATAATGTAAAATTATTTAACATTTCAAATTTTTTAGAGTTCTATGCGATAGTCAACGGCGATTCAGTCGAAATACTAATTAAATCTAGCACATTTTACTGGTGTGGCAAATATCTATATTATCATTTTCCGTAGCTGCTGCTTGTAGATCACGAATTGAGAGCCAGAAATGCTGTTGCCGATGGGTTAGCATTTTCAGCCAATGGCTGAGGAGAAGAAGTGGGTGGACTTGTATAGTTCAGACTCCATTTTGTGTTTTGCAGCTGTGCGTCATTTAAGAGGTTATTTAACAGAAGGTAAGCAACGGTGTTTTAACAATTTAGACGACAGTTAAGCTTTCATGTTTCTGATAGGCGTGTGGTTACTAATGCCTTTGATTTTTTTAAAGACCTTGCGTCTATCATTTAGATACTGTCTTTGATTTTTTTAAAACGTATTTATGTCATTGCAGTTTACTCCAGGCATTTTGATAAATTTGTGCGTGGCCTTAATGGTGTGGCAGTAACATACTAACATTAAAGGTTTGTCGGCCAAATGATCACTGTTCTGTAAGAAAATAATATTTAACCTAATATTTTCCAAAAGAGTATTTTACGTGTAAAATCTAGCCTGGATGTTAAGTCCATTTCTGGCTGATAAATAGGTAACTATTTTGTAATTTTAGCACGCTATCTATAGGAAAACATATTTTAATGAAATCTAACGTGGCTTTGAATTCGATTTGTCATAATTTGTTTTGACTGCTTGGGGTGGAATGAGTGGGATGGTTTCTTTATTACTATCTACGTAGTTTTAGTTAGCCTGTACTGCTACGTTAAATACAATGGCACGGGAAAGTAGGTCATTTTAATTTAACCTGTTTTGCATTACTGTCTCGACCTCAGATGTTTAGAATTAGCTGCAAATGAATGTGGATTATACATAATTGCTGTCATTTCTGAACAAGGTTATTGCTGCTCAGAAAATGATAACGTTTAATATAGTTTAAAATAAAGTGAGAGTACATGTTCTATGAAACTAACGAACAATCTGAGAATAAGATTTTTATCTATATGTATTACGTTAATGCTGGATATGTTGCTTCTTTCGTGATTTCATGCTTTGCATCTATGTAAGGAACGGTAAAGCTAAGCCATCCCTGACTTTTGGCTTTTCAGATACTGGGCCTGTGTTGGCTTCTGGAAGCGATGTAATTGCTTATATGTTGTGCAATGTAGCTTTGAGCATAATGAATTGATAGTTTAACTTCAGCCTATATTCTTATTACAATTGCTAATTGGGTGCATTCTAAGAACCCATTTCCATTTGCTATCCTATAGAGTTGGAAGAGTGGCACGTTTTGTTTAAGCATCACAGTTAATATATTCAAAGAAATATGTGTATCTGTACTGTAGTTGTTTCTGTGAACTGCAATTATTTAAACCTTTATAGTTACAAAGACAGCTGGATTTCTGTTCTTCTGTGAAAAGAAAACAGAACATTCCCATTGTTTTGAGATACAATTGCTAACAGTCTTAGAACTGTTTCCCTTAATTTAATAAAAGTTATGTAGGCATGAATTTATAAAAATATAGCATTTGTTATATAATTCTTACTTTGCAAATGGTAATTGGTGAAGGCTGCACAGTTTTGTGTGACTACAGTAACCTGGTTACATGGTGAGCACTAAAAAGTTTTTCTGCATTTAATTATAGTCTAGATGGCCATATATGATATGTTTTGAATGCAAATATTTAGATCTTAAAGCCAGTTTGAGAATCTAACAGAGACAGAGGTCAGTGGGTGGTCGTGTTGGGGATGATGAAGATATCAAACTTAGTTTGCAAAGCTTTTTAAATATCATTTGATTTTATGTGATTGACAGCAGGAAACCCCTGAAGATGAGTGGCTGTCGTGTTTTCATTGGCCGTCTTAACCCCTCAGCTCGGGAGAAGGACGTCGAGAAATTTTTTAAGGGGTACGGGAGAATTCGGGACATCGACTTGAAGCGTGGCTTCGGTTTTGTGGTAGGTTTTCTGTGTGGTCTGGTTTAGAACCGTATTCAGAATGCACACCCCTTTTTATAGACAATATGAACATTTGTGTGAATTATTCTCTGTAATGGTAGTGGGATGCCATTTATTGAGCTGTAATTGCAATTATAGGACTGACATCAAATTCATTATTCAGTAATCCATTTATCCATCATTCTTCAAATTCTGTAGACAGTGTTAGCACATTGAACAACCACAATTATTCCAGTTTGCAAAGGCATCTTAAACATATTTTTTTTTTTATTTGAGATTGTGCGCTATTCACAGAGACTTACCTTCAGGAGTCAGTTACAGAACTGGAAACAAATACTGGTGCAGAACACTATTTAGTGTAGATTATGTATTTTAGAATACAGTGTAATACAAGGTGTTATGTAGAAGCACAGTACACATTATATGTAGCTCAGGATTTTCAGCAATGTGAGACTGCTCTATGTGGGAAGGAGGAGTTTCGAGCAAACAACGGAATGTAGGCATACATTCACACTGTACATCTTTACCCTGATACCCAAGTCAAGCTCTCTGAGCAGGTTTTACATACAGTATATTGACAAAGTTGAAGTCTGATTTAGCTTTTTTCTTTGGAGTTGAATTCACTCAGGAAAGTATGTTGATGCCAAACTGTTCATTATTTTACATGAAGTTCTTATTGTTTAAAAACATGGCGAAAAGCCTATATTTTGGCTTTTGGACTGTTTGACTTTATGTGCTGTCAATCCTGTTTGTAACGGAATAACATCAGACAGTGAGGTGAGCCCAGCAGAGTACATTGTCTCCACTCTTGCGCTGATGGTGCTTGCTGATTGCAGGAATTTGATGACCCTCGTGACGCAGAAGATGCAGTGTATGAACTGGATGGGAAAGAGCTCTGCAATGAGAGGTCAGCCGGATTGAATCTAATACATTCCACCTGGATATAATGTGGTTGTTCCTACCAAATGAGATTTGGGTTAAGATCTTTGAATAGCAAGGATAAGAGCAGAAAAATCCGTTTTTCGTTAGACTATTGTTTAGTATTGGCGTGTGTGACTTGCTGAAATTCCAGGGAGGTATTGTCAGAATGCGTCCTGACAGCAATCACTGTCTTTATTTTTTCTCGTCTTGTAGAACAGGATATTAATTTGAAAGAAAAAGAGAACAGAATTATAAATATGGTCATTTAAATGTAACATTTTAAAAGTGTCCATTTTCATTTGCCTTTTTTAATGGAAGACTGCAGTATAGACCATCAGTTTGGCTCAGGTGAAAGTGGCCTTCAGAAAGCTGGATTGTGTCACTCTGGTTGTAGGAGGAGAGGAGGCCCAAAGATAATTTTCCGGAGAGTTAATACACCCTATTTTTTTTTCCCCGTCAGAGTTACAATCGAGCATGCCCGCGTGCGGCTGCGTGGAGGGAGAGGACGAGGAGGACGCTTCCCGGACCGCTACAGCGAAAGGCCGCGGGACAGTCGGAGGTATGCAGCCCTGGCCTCAGGCCTGCCTATTCTCCTTGGGCTCTAAGCATTTTCTCAACAGGTAGTTAATAAGGGCGTGTCCTGCTTTATGCTTGTTACTCCCCAGGATAGGCTTCGGCTCCCCCACAGCTCTGAATTGGATGAAGCAGTTAGAAAATGGATCTATGGATAACAAATGATGAGCTATGATTGTTTACTTTGTTGCTGTGTGATGGCTACCTATAATCCTCAATTATACAATGCCAAGATGTAGCACACCACAGGCAAAGTCAATATTAAACTCTCTGCCTCTTGTGTAGTTGAGAGTTTAAACCCTCTGGCGCTTCTTTTTTGCCCTGATTGGGTGCCTTGGTTACTTGCCGTCAGTGAGAGCGGGGTCAAGTCTTCCATGCCACATTACAGTCCTGGGCTCACAGTGGGGGAAGACACAGATGTCTTGCCTTGGCTTAATTGTGTTTTGTCTTCATTCCTCCCTGCATGGATATGGAGTTTTGGGGTATTCAAATGGGAAATCAAAGGGTAAATCGCATATACATGCTTACACAAATTTACCATTACATTATGAACTATTTTTCAAAACAAATATCAGTTTTTTATTTGGCCATGCGCAACACATTCAATTAGATACCTAAAGGTCTCTGGAGATTCTTATTGATCTGGTCCATAGTATACCATACTGGGCTGATTTTCTTGTTTAATAATACAAAGTACTTATTAAAAGTCAAGAGCTAGACGCCCTTGCCTGGGTTCAATCCCAGGTAGGGGCAAGCGATGTAGCTTGCTCTAATTCCTTCCAGACGGCTCCCAGGTCCACTCAGCCTGCTTTCCAAGTGAGTACCGGGGTTAATCCTTCTGGGGGTTATAGGCCAGCCGGAGCGTGATGCTGACCACATCACCTCCAGTGTCGGTTGGTAGAGAAAAATGGTGGCCCTTGCCCCCCCATTCCCCCATGGGCCTTTATGGCCTGAAAAGGGACCTATCACCTTATTAAAAGTACTTATTGAAATTTGTGTTTATTATCGGTCAAATGAGGTTAGATTTATCTGCAGTTAGATCTTGGTGAGGACTAGTTGAAGGTCAAATATGTCTAAAAATGTAAAACTATAGAATTATAAGGGGGTGTACTTTCTTTTTCATGTCACATTTATATTATGTTAATGTTTCAGTTAATTTATTCCCCTCCCCGTAGGAATCCTCCTCCTCTTCGTACAGAAAACAGGCTCATCGTGGAAAATCTGTCCTCCAGAGTCAGCTGGCAGGTGCGTTTAATTTCAGTCTTTTACCTAAGGTCAGTATTAGTTGTCAGAGTTTGTTTTATTCAGAAATCTCCAAAGTGTAACGTAATTATTAAAAACATAAGAAGATTGTGATTTTCAGTAATTCATAAAAGCATTATGGAAAAGTAGAAAATGGTTGTTTTTTAAATGGCAGGCAGAAAGGAAAACACAACTGTTAACATTTGTACAGTTAAAATAATATGAAAACTGTTGACAAGGCTGTTCTCATGTGCACTGACTTGGTATCAGATCAAGCAGTTACAGTTCTTCCTTAAATAAGTAGGATTAAAGATTACATTTTATGTAAGGGTCCATTAGAACATTCATCTTTTTTAATTTATGAAGTTTTTTTTCTTTACTTGTTGCCTCTGTTTTAACCACGTGTTAACCCCTTTATTTGCCAGCCTCTGTTGTTTCGTATGGAAGAGATTGCCTTCGGGCGTGGAGTTCAGGGCCTCAGTGTCGGTCTCTCTGGGTTGAACGTGGTTCATACCAGCCAGTCTGTGCTACTACCACACCTAGTTGACACGGGGGGCCTTCTGCAGATCGTTTGAGCTCTTGCTGGGTCCTCGCTGTAAAGTCGCGGGCTGCACTTCCTTCAAAAAGTGCCGTCTGGTTCCCTTTGCTGCGATCAAGCAAGCGCCAGAGAGGGAGAGTGTGTGTTGATCGATTCGTTAATTTGAGAAGCTCCAATCCTTCCCCGCGTGGTGCGAGTTGGTTCCAGGTGACACAGGAAAATTCGAGGTGCGAGCTTTTTTTTAGGAGACCCCGTGTCTTGGTCCAAGGTATTAGTGAACACTTCCACCTTTCCATCGTCAGCTGCAGAGCCAGCCAGACAGTAAAACTGAGTGAAGGGTGGAAAAGACTGACACCCTGCTAATTTGGGGCTAAATTACATTTCCTATGGGGAAATTAAAAAGGAAGTAATAGAAATGTTTTAATGCAGCTTGCAATTTTCAGAATTCAAATGCAATAGTGCTAACTTTGGGGTCCAAGAATGTAAGCTTGGTTAAATTCAATATTCCAAATTTTTGCCCTGAGCTGCTTTGAAAGATATAGCTGCACCACACTCTTATAAAGTGAAATATTCTGAATCAAGTCATTTTTTCTTATATTTGGACATGCTGCTATTGCATTTTTTTAAATTCCTGGTCATTATTTCATACTATGCATTTGTGTTCTGTGTTCTGGCCTCATGAAAAGTAACTGTCTTCTATTGTGTTATATTGGAAGGTTTTTGTGCCAGTGTTAAAAGGACTTTCTGAAAGTAAATAATGTGTGCAATATTGATGTTTAAGGATCTAAATAGACAAACCTTGACAAATTCTGGGAAGGGAAAAGGTAAATAATGCCTTGAGAGTTTGGCTTGTTCAGTCCTATGGTCTAGTTAAAGTGAATGTGTTCTCAAGATTATATGTAAAATATAAGAATGTGTGGTGCAGCTATTTCTTCAATGTATTTTCCAAGAAAATACTAAGTTTTTATAGATTTATGATGTTACTTAATGTTCTTGTACACTGTATGTCACTGATCAGGAGCTCTGGAAGGTGCACTATCCTGGCCCTTCAGAACAAATAAGTACTGGACAGTGCTGCTGTTAGATTGTTTTATGAAAAACTTGAAGCTTTCTTTTGAAAATTATTTTGTCTAGAAAATTAAGAACTAAAAGTAATAAATACTACCTTTAATTGAAATCGCTTCATTGCCAATTTTAAATTGGAACTGGTAGTGATCTGGGTAGCACCATAACATGAGTAAATATGATTGTATTTATATAGATTACTAGCTCACAACTGTGCTGGGTCACATTTATTTTTAAATAAATTAAAAGTATCTGTTTAACAAAAGTGGCTGAAATCTTAATATGGGTAATTCTTGGACCCCTTTCCCCAGCTAGGATAGGCTGTATCTTTGTATACCTAACATTCTTTTAGTTAGCCATGAATACATACATTGATTCTACACCTTTTTACATTAAACCATCCCTAACTAGTCTGGTCTTGTATGTAGGATCTGAAAGATTTCATGAGACAGGCTGGAGAGGTTACTTTTGCGGATGCCCACAGACCTAAACTTAATGAAGGGTAAGATTTATTTATGTCTTATGTCTAATGATGCATTATTGTCTTGCATACTGTATATTAATTACATTTATATACTGGTTTTTGGGTGTATAGAGCAAGCTGTCCAGCCACGTTTTTGAAGCCAATACCCTGCATTCTTACAATAAACAGCTGCATAAGATTAGCTACTTACAACAAAATGGGCTAGATGGGTCAAATGGCCTTCTCTTGTTTGTAACCTTTTCATTTGCATAAGTATTGCATGCATTAATGGCACATACAAAGTGCTACACTTACCGTTAACTCAGAGGTAAAAAGCAGCTTTTACTGTGGAACTGAGAACGTCTCCACTGCTTCATTCCCTTGAAGGCCAAGCATAGGTAATGCAGTGTATGAGTAAAAATGATTCTATATACCAAGTCATAAAGCAAAATATTTATTCAGCTTTTCTGTAAATTGTCTTAACACTATATAAGATCCTTCAGTCTGTAATACGCAGTTGAAATACGGAGCATTAAAAGACTGCGCTTCCCAGAAGCTCCAGTTGGCATTACTGGTACATGGGTTCGAGCCTGTGACATGTCATTAATTAACTATGACTGCGATTCCCCAAACTGCAGGACAGAATGGACTGGACAACCATTGTGGTTTTTGTGGGTTAAGTCAGCAAGGACTCTCAGCTCACAGCACCACATGTGTAGCCCTGTCACTAAGGGACACGTCACCTTTCGAGTTGGTGCTTAGCCTCTGGTAGGGGGCTGAGTTGCTTGTCTTTATGGTGAAAAGGGGAAGGTAGGTAGTTGGAGGAGCCTGCCTTGCGTGAGATCACAGGGTTCCTAGCTGCAAACTGAGATGAGAAAAATACTATTAGCTCTTACAGATAGAAGTAGTATAGTATAGTAGTATTAAAAAAAATATATTAATATTTTGTCAAACAAAGCAAGCTGCCTGCTTGCTTTGTTTTCATAAACAAATGTTAAAATTTGTTGTCCTGTTTAATCCTTAATTTCGGTAGTGTTAGAACACTTCATCTGTATTTGTAATATTTCTCTTGACTTTCCTCTTCTGAGAGGAGCATATGGTTGGTTAACAGTGCTTTACTTGCTCTACAGGGTGGTAGAGTTTGCCTCTTACAGCGATTTGAAAAATGCTCTTGAAAAGCTGTCTGGAAAAGAAATCAATGGGCGAAAAATCAAACTCACAGAACTGAAAAGGAGGTGAGTCTTTTCCTCCGCTCCTCTTGGTGGTGGTTCTTGTCTGTGCCATGGGTGACCAGGGAAGAGAGCATGTTTGGTCAGTGGGCAGGGATCAGTGAGTAAACTCGGGCGGGGGGGGGGGTATTTTATAGAGTAGCCAATCAAACCCAATTAGATGTCTTTTGAAGTTGCAAGAAGACTGGAGCCTTCCACTTAGTTATATAGTGTGTAATTATACAGGATAAAACAGCATTGCACGATCGAGAAGCTTAACGGTCTTCAGTTTCAAATGTAAGGTTGGTTTGGCCCTCTAGGCAATTGAGTCATGCACTTAGGTCATTGGAGATTCGGAGAACCAAGAATAATGTCCACAGGTTCTCCTATAGCAGACATAGCAAAATGGGCCACGTCTCTTTGGGAGGCACTGGATCAAACTACATTCATAAGCACATGAGTTTGTGGGTCCTTCTAGCATTTTGGAAGGCTGTTTCAGGTTTGGAGCACGGAAACTTCTGTGACACAGGAAGCAAAAAAAAATAAATAATTGCTTACACTTATATAGCGCTTTTCTGGATACTGTACTCAAAGTGCTTTACAGGTAATAGAGACTCCCCTCCACCACCACCAATGTGCAGCAACACCTGGATGATGCAACGGCAGCCATAGTGCGCCAGAACGCTCACCACACATCGGCTATCAGTGGGGAGGAGAGCAGAGTAATGAAGCCAATTCATAGAGGGGGGTTATTATTTGGAGGACATGATTGGTAAGGGGCAATGGAAACTTTGGCCAGGACGCTGGCCTTAAACCCCTACTCTTTTCGAGAAACGCCCTGGGATTTTTAATGACCACAGACTCAGGACCTCGGGTTTACGTCTCATCCGAAGGACAGCACCTGTTTACAGCACAGTGTGCCCATCACTATACTGAGGCGTAAACCGCAGGGTGAGCACCCCCCTGCTGGCCTCACTAACACCTCTTCCAGCAGCAACCTTAGTTTTTAATCTCTGTCCAGGTACTGACCCAGCTCACGCCTGCTTAGCTTCAGTGGGTTGTCAGTTGCGAGTTGCAGGGTGATACGGTTGCTGGCGAAGAGGCTGCATGCACTTCTCTCATTTTCTGACCCCTGCTAAAATGGGACGCTTTTCCTGCAGGTCTAGGACTCGCTCGCGATCCGACAGCTCCTCTCGCTCCAGGTCCAGCTCTCGCTCCCGGAGCCGCTCCAGGTCCCGGAGCTCCAGGTCCACCAGCCGCTCCCGGTCGGCCAGTGGTTCTCCCACCCGCGACAAGGACTCAAAGCACGGCTCCCGGGCTCGTTCCAGCTCTCCGCCCGCAGGCGAGTGTCCGCGGCCCCGCTCCGAGTCGCACTCGCCGCGCTCCGAGGGTGGCCACTGAGCCCCGCCGCGGCTCACAGCCTCTGGACTGCGTTGGCCCAGGTCCGCACTCTTCTAACGGGCCTTCTGTCCCCGGGCTCTGCGGACGTGCTGTTGACGCAGGCGCGGGTGGCGCTGCCCGTAGTCCTCAGTCGCGGGGTTTGGAGTGTGCTGTGGACTGAGAGAACTGACATCTTACCACTTCGCCAGCACGAGGTAAGACCACTTAGGGGCTGGAAATCTAGTGGTTGTGGGCTCACTGATTTAAACACAATAAACAAAAATCCCTGTGAGATTTGTTGTTTTCTGACTTCATATTTAAAATTGATTGTAAGGTTCTGTATTTGTATCTTTGTTTCCCGCATCTGCAAGCTGATTTCAAACCTGCCGTTTTCAATAACCAATAGGACTTGATGGACCTGTGAGAAAACTTTCGGCAAACAGTTCTTCCTCTCTGCTGGGGGGGATGTAAAATAATGTTTGGGGTTTTTTTTTAATGGTTCTGTGTTTTCCCATGCTGTTTGATATAAAAAAAAATCAACTTGAGCAGTTGATGGTTCGATGCATTTTACATCATATCCTGGAAAAATGTTTCAGTTAACATTGTAAAATATTCTTTATGTGCAACTTAAGAATAAATACAAACATACAAACCAGTGTCGTTCTGTATCTCTTAGGGTTACAAGTTCTAGAGCTTTTTGATCAAGGATAAGGAGTTTGAATAAGTTGGTGTTCCACATATTATCCTACTGTATGTATCAGATCTCTGTTTAAGGTGTCAGAATCAGGAAAAGGCTTCAGTTAGTCTACTTATGCAGTCAATCATGTGTAACAAATTTAAAATGACATTTCTTAAACATTTTGTATTCTTTATAGAAAGGATGTACTAATGGGAATGAAGTACACTAGAAATTCATAAAACTTGAAGTTACAGCACATTTGATGGGGAAAGAATCTTGAAATTATGCATTTTTACACAAAGGATAACTTTAATGTTTAATGTCCAGTTCTAGAGGCTGTTTCAACAACAACAAAATATTTTTAGTAAAATCCTGTGGGACTTCGTCTTCCATCTGTGATTTGGAAATCAGATGTTTACAGATGGTGGTTGTTCTCTTATTAACAATGCAAATACAAGTTCAGATGTGCAGAAATGAAAATACCAATTTGAAAATCACATACTATTTCTTACAAAAAAAAACAACAACCCAAAGATTTTAATTCAGGTACATAACAGTTCTGGTTAAATATATCTAATGCCCTGTAATTAATAATAACTAATTCTGTTACATTAATAACTGATAGAGAAACTTTATATACAATTACAGTCCACAAGTTTGGTTAAGTGTTTGAAAGATGGGATTTATAAAAAATGTTTCATAAACGGGAACAAAGCCTGGGTGAATTTAACATTTTTATAACTAATTTGAAATACCATATCCTTTGCTGTTTTGTATAAATTGTTCCAATTACAGAAGTTATGGAAATAAATTTTAAGAGCTTCAATGGGCATATTATACAGACAAATTATATTTTCTCCACGTAAAACATTGATGAAGAAAAAATTATATAAACCAGAAACCCCATATTTGTTTTGTATATTTAGATGATGCTTTTATGCTTTCTGTATTTTCACTGAAATTATTAAAGAGATTTTTCTAGACCAACTGTGAGTACACTATGAAGTAACAGATACTTTGATCTCGCTTTCTCATTTCATAGTTCAGGTGTGACATAGCCAGGTTTGTCCATATCAAAGACCTCATGTTTTATTCTTTGTGTAACTGAGGACAATCGAGAGACAATAAGGTCAGTGCAATAAAGTATTCTACATTCTACAGTCCAGCCCCCTCATAAGGCCACTGCTGCATGAAAATATCTTCACAAAACAGACATTATTCTTGCACTATTGAGCGAAATCCTTAGAGATTCACAAAAAGTAAGGGTGTTCACTTAAATATATTTGTTAGCATGCAGTTTGACCTTGCTCTGGCGTATTTGCTTGTGTATTTATGGGAGCCTCATATCTTCATTTCTTCTGCATTGATGTCGACAGACACATAGGTCGTCTTTTGTGGCTCTGAAGTGGGAGGAAAGAAAGCAAGATCAAATAATCTTATTTATTGATCATTGATTGCTGTTATTATAATTGCTGTGTTGAGCGGGTGTATTAAGCCACGTATAAAATGAAATCCTGGCCTGCATGCCTTGCTGTGCAGTAGCTCTTTTGGGTCAGTGATGTACAGCAGACTGCCTAAATTGGAAGTCTGATAGATCACAGATCAGAATTCCTATTTGTCTTGTCATTGCTAGGATTTAAAGGTAACGGAAAGTGCTACACTTAGTACTAGATAGTCATTATTGGTAGTTTTTGGTCTTTCTCTGATAATGTTTTATGCGCTTTTACTCATAACTACTTTTGATGTTTTGTTCAGATTTACTATAGATCCCCAAAGTCACTCCATGACATTGACTTGTGAGCCAGACAAACATTTATACAGACACACAGTTTCTTTCCTTCATAAAAGCCCCAACTGCTTTCATGATAACACTAATTAAAAGTATCTACCTCTCACTCACAGCAATGTACTGTACCATACCCTGGTATTTCTCACTCTGCCAATAAACATTCTACTTGACCAGCTGATTACTAAGTAAATAGGTGAAGTAATAAAAGGAGTTCAGTAACAGAATTGACCAATGTGCTCTTTAAAGAAAGCTTGTGGGAAATTGGATCACAGTAGAAATCTGGCAGTCCATAACTTTGACCAGTCTGCTTTTTAAATTCACTAATGCCCCTAGTTCTGATCATGGCTACTTGAGTTGAAAGTTTGTTAGCCACCTAAACGCAAGATGAGAAATGCCTGTATAACACACAATGTTTCTACATTCCTGTGTTTGTCTTATTTACATTTTCAGAACACGAGCAAATATGTGAAGTCTCCAAAACATAAGTGAAATATTTTTCACATTAACAAAGAATTTAAATTTTTAACATTTTCATGAATATCACAGGCATTATTGCTAGGTGTTCCTGCTATACCAGGGGAGAATGAACTGAACTCCATCCAGTAGGACTACTTCCTCCTGTAAAACTATTGTCAGATTTTCATAAGAATATGAGAACTTGTTTTCTGATGTTCATTACTAAATGACTTACCTTCTACAGGAAGCCTAAGCCTTCGGTAACATCTGAAGGCAATTATTAAGATCATGGCCTCCCCAGACTGGAAAAGGATGTATATGAGTGGGAACAGGTACAAGGGTCCAATTACTTCTGGGGGGAATGCCACTTTAAGGATGGTTGAGCACAGCTGGATATTCTGACAGCCTGTCTCCATGGACACTGTCCTTTTACACCTGAGGAAGGGAGGGAAGAGTAACTCACTGGTTTTATGCAATGAAATTGGAAGACAATTTTAAGACGGTAACTTATTAAAAAGCAGCGTCTGGGCTTGATGAGCGATGATGACAAATGAACTGAAACTGAAACCAGGCCTTGAATGTGTACATTGTGTGTTATGTAACTGTAGTGAGTCATTTCAAGAGCAAAGGAGTTCCTCACAATACAAATTGAAAAGCAGTTGGTGAATGTTAAGATATCTTAAGTTTATTTTTGCAGACAAGGTTTGGTATTGCATATATTAAATAACATAATGCTATGGTAACTAAATATATTTCCTTCAGCCAATTCAGGATTTTTTTCCAGAACTTTAATTACAGAATAATTTAACATAATCTTTGTAATTATTCTGAAAAATATTTTAGAATTTAAGATGCTACCAGCAGAGTGTATGTGATATTTTCTGTTAAGGGTCAGAAAGAGAAACTGTATAAAATACATACATGTGTTTTGTCATGTATTACGAGTTTTTAATGTGTCTTCTAATATGTCTAGAAACTATATGAAGAGGTGAGCATTTTTACTTTGATCGTTTTTTTTCAATTCCAGAAATGTTCGATGTAGTTTTCAGCTGTAAAATGTAAAAAATAGGGTTAAGATTAGGGTTATGTAAAAAGACTTTCTCTTACTGCTCGTTGAGGCAGAAGATGGAGGACAAGATGTACCCCAGCAGGTAGCCAGTGAGTGGCATTAGGGAAGCTGTGGCTATGAGCGAAGGAGACAGGACCACCCAGACAGTTCTCCCTATTGTAATGCCAGAGAGGATTCCTATTGCCACTGAGGCCATCAGCAGAGCACCCAGCCCCACCTGGAAAGACAGAGCCACTGAGCATCAAGACCGCCGAAAACAGATCAGCCATTGCCATTGTTAGGTTTTGATCCATGTCTACGTTACTGTCAGTGTTACCGATCCTGCTTGTATACCTGTTAAATCCATTATTTGCATTTCTGGAAAGTTTATAGGATATGAAATTGGAATAAAACCAGCAATAAGTCTGTGTTTATATTTTTAATGTTAAGTATGTATTAAAAATTCATATTTGAAGCACATTCATCCCTTTCAACACATTCTAGGCTTGTTCATTAAAAACTTAAGCAAAACGAGAATACGTGGAAGAGACTGAACCACTGAGTAACAGTTAAACTGGGGAGATTTACGGTGCTTTGATTTTAGGAAAAGCAGTTTCAGACTTGACTGATGCCTTCTTGTGGCTTGCAGCGAACTGGACTTTCATTTAGGTGAAAATAGCTTTTTAACTTTGAACTGATATCCCCAGACAGACTTTGTATAGCAAAGGTAAATTAAAGACCCCTTTTCATTTCACACATTTCTTTCTGCAGATTGCCCTACACTGGAGGTTCAGTGAAGCAAACGAACAGAATGTTTAGGCAGTGTGGAAGTCAAATGGGTATGGCGCAATGGTGTGAGTGAGAGGTGGATTCATTTTACCCGCACAATGATCTGCGAATAGCGTGGCACCCGGGCATTGATGGCTATCCCAATGGCACAGGGGACCAGTGTCATGACCAGGGCCATGGTGATGCCTCCATAGGGAACTGCATTCTCCAAATTCGAGAATCCCTGACAATAGAGATATAGCAGCAGTGGCATCATTCCCAGGGCCAGCACTGTGGAGCATGTTGTCATCACAATACTGGAAAGGAGGCACAAGAAACAGCCTTTCTTAGCTTATCAATCTGCTTTCCCTGATAAAGCCTGGATCGGACGCCAGTCCATTACAAGGCACATATAAACACAAACTTACACGCATTCGCACCAGGGCCAATTTCACAGAAGCCAATTAACCTACCAGCATGTCTTTGGACTGAGGGAGGAAACCCGGAAGTGAACATGGGGAGAACATACAAACTCCTCACAGATGGCACCCCAGGAATTCAACCCGGAGTTCCAGTCCTGCAAGGTAACAATGCTAACCACCGTGCCACAGCACTGCTCACAATATTTCTATCCTAAAAATCTGAACTCTATGGCCTTTTTATGGTTGCTCAAAGACAAAAATGCATCCATATTGAGCCTGGACTAGCCTTTTTACAAACTTGATTTGTCTGAAATAATAAATGCTAAGATAATTGATCATTAAAAACATAACAAAAATAAACTTGTTGGTATAGGTTAATTTCTACAGTACGTATAACTAATGTTATGGGTTGGGTTATTGAACATGTAATATTGCATTCAGGAACTAAATATATGTCATATGGCTATAAGATATTATTCACAAAGCAGTTATTAATTTATTGACCTTTGTGAGGTTTGAAAATATGTTTATACGTTGTGGAAATGTAACTTACTGATACTAGGAATTTTTCTGTAAACTACAAGTTTTTATATTCACTAGCCTTAAGAGACCCCAAGCTTTGCAAATAATTTATCTTAAGTTTTGCCACTGTAAGTCCATCACAGTGAGACAATGGAAAAGTCATCAGCTGTATTGATCATCAATTTTTTGCTTATTTAATAACAAAAATACACACAGGTGACTACTGATTTGTACGGGTGTAACAGCAGCATTATCCTGTATTTCTTAGTATTTAGAGTTGTGTTATTACTCTTTTTGATGTACTTAAATCATGTATTTTGTTTTGCATTTTTGTACCTTAATTGATTCTAATGTTGGAGCATTTGGAACTTTTGCCCTTACAATTACATTATTATGCTCTGGACCCATGATGGTTGTAGAAGTAAATTTGCAGTTAAAAACAGGAGGTACCCATAATGGATACTTTGATTAGGAAATTCAAGATCTTCTGTACAAGCTGAAATGCAACAAATGCAACATGAGTACATGTTTACTTTCTGTAGATAAAATGCAAAGTAACAGATGCCGCCAAAACAAATAAGCACTACAAAAACTATGAATTTGCTGTGAAAAGTAGAGACCCCATAAAAGAAGGGGTCAACATGGTGTTATTTTTACAGAGATGATAACCAGCGGGTGATGAGAAAGGTGGTGTCATGGATGACTGTACCTGAGGTTCATATCTCCATTCATAGCAAGAGCAAAGATGTTGGACAAGTTTCCTCCTGGACAGCAACCACAGATGAGAACGGTCACTGCTTCAATAGCACCAAGCTGAAACATTTTGGCCAAAGCAAAGGCTGTGATGGGCATAACGCCATACTGGGCTATCACAGCGATGCCTACACCCTTGGGTTTCAGAATGTGGGTTTTAATCTTGGAGATCTCCATGGTACAACCCAGGGAAATCATGGTGATGAACAGAATGAAGATGGTAATGGCACTAATGGCCTTGTCCATAGCCGGTGAAAAAGGTGACTGGAAGGTCCATGAGACATTGGACACTGTGATATTGAGGAGGTGGTTCTGGTACCAAAGACTGTCACCAGTATACTGCAACTCTGTCTGATTTATCATGTTGTCCATCCAGAAATTGACCATTAATTATTGACCTTTAAAGACAAAAATCAAACAGTAACCATCTATTAATAGTTGTGGTTAGAAGAATATGGAGATTTGGAACCTTTATAATGGAAGGTTTTAACAGCAATCTGAAAGCAATAAAAAGGTTCAATATCACTCAAGGTGCCAGAAATACAGTAAAGTAGTTCATTAATACAGTTTTAAACAAGCATGTTACCTCATGGCACAAAAATATTCTATGATTTTAACTCTCATAGTTCACATTGTGTATCCTGTACTAGTATTTTTTTAAATGAATATGGAAGGCAAGCCATAAGATTAGAAAAACATCACTTTGTTCATATCCTCTGGCAGGAAGCTCTGATTTATTTTCAGACTCAAAACCATGTGACACTGTCCAGTGCTTTCTTGCCAGTGAATTAAAACTTCCCAAAACATTTATACATTTATGCCAACAAGAAATGTATGCATGTGAAAATGAAATAAGCTTACTGTCACCATTGTTTCAATATACTTCTTTTTCCATTTTTGTTGGTTCATTAATATTTTCCATATTTATACAATTAAAGAGCTTCATATAGTTGCTCTTTATCTTGCAGAAAATATGTTTAGAATTGTAATATGGTTTTCAGACAAGGCCTACATCATAACTCCTATCAATTAATGTTTCTTTTAACCTACATACAGGGAGTAGTTCAAGTAGGTACAGTAGCTGCGTCAGTGTGCGTAGGCTAGAAAGGACCAAGTTACACACCCAAAGAAGGCTCCACAGCGGAAATGTTGTGTTTCTTTTCTTCTCTTTTTTCGGCATGGAATAAACGTTTACTTGTTACTTTACATACAGGGAGCTCAATCTGTTATTTTGACCAGTCAGCAGCCCATGAGCTGAATGTTGCCTTAAAAAGACTTTCAAAGAAATCTGCATCTTTTCAATCTACTATTTTACATACATAGACCTACGGAACTAGCCTTTCTGTCTTGACTGGTTTTCTTATTTTTTAGTTATTTTTAAGTAATGAAAAGAAGATACGAATGCTTCTACTATTTCTGAGAACAGGCACTGTATTAGAAGCCTTTCATCGCTGTTTCATCCCACTGTTCAAACTGTTTCAACAAAACATTGCTACTCCTGGGCACACTGCCCTCAGTCTGTATGACAGCCATTCACAGTTTGTACACCAGCACACATTCACTGACATGATGCTAGACATTGTAAAGAATAATTTATACTTTTATACTAGTTTTTGACTGACATATTGGCATGATAACGTAAAATTGCTCAAAATACTGAGATTCAAAACAACAACTCATAGGATCGGATACATATTGCTATTTTTAACTCATCCACCTCATTTTTAAGGTTCTATCTATTATAAAGTGCCATCCATAAGTACCGAGACACTGAAGTCAACATTTGCTATTTTTGCTGTGTACTCAAGCAGTTCAGATTTGAGATGAAAAGATGAATATGAGGCAAAAGTACAGAATGTCACCTTTTATTTCTGGGTAATTCTGCGTATCAGTCCCTGTCTTTTTTTCCTTTATTTTAAAGCCTTCTTAGAGTTGTTGTTGTTTTTTAATAACAGTTCAGATCGCTGTACCAAACCCATTCCAATGGCTCAGAAGAAAACATTGAGACTAAAAACAGTGTACGATCTGCTTGTTTTGATCCTGGTGATCACCTTACCTTCTCAGTAGATCACTAGTAAAAACTGTCCTCTTCTTTCTGACACTAACTCCTGTGCCTTGGATTTTTGTTTCTGTTCTGCAGTGAGTTCTAAGCCTTTCTGTGAAAAACTCTGCTAGAGCTCCATAAAGCCATGTTGCCATGACATTCAGCTTCTGTGCTTGATTGGATGTGCTGCCAATGTAGAACACTCATTGTTCCACAGGTACTCCTTGGCAAAGTGATTTTACCATCAGACTCAACTATTCAGGTTATTGTTAAGTGACCAGAAGAAGGAATTTACTCCAAATCCAAATGAGCACAAAGACTCTGATGTTGATGTTTGCACCTTTTGCACTTAATAACAATTTTGCACTGAAAGTAAATGCTTCTATTATTGCTACCAGTAAAATGACTTTTTTTTATTAAAATGACCATTTACTCAATTAGTAAATAAAATATCTTCTCACCTGCTTTTTTGTATTAAAACAAGTAGCAACTTGTTTCAAGGCATTTAGGGATAGGTAAAAAAAATAAGTTTGTGGAAACAGTGCAGAACTGTGTGATTTTCAATACAACAAATGAATCCAAACCAGACTATTAATATATTTTGCAATATACAGTGAGTATAATATTACAACTTATTAAAACAATAAATGGTTTTGCAGGTTCAATTGATCATTTGACAAATCATTTTCCTAAATCGTGGGGAAAAAAATCAAAAGCATTTTGTTATAGTTTAGATTAAGACCAAATTGCTTACTTTAAGGCAAGAATGTTATGTACTAAGTTTTCCAAAAAAAAAGATTAAAAGCAAAAGATGAAATGTCTATGTGTCTTTTTTATAACACTACAACTTTGAGTCCATAACTTTCAAAATAGACCAAAACTATTTCCTACCTTCATTGTGCATGCTCTGTCTCTTGCTGTGTGCTGTTAGTCTTTCTTGTTCTGTAGACTGCATGTAATTGCATCTCCGCAATCACACATTCTTCACCAAAACTTTGCTCACAGCAAGCAATGGGCTGTCTTATCACATGGCAGAGTGGTCACATGAAAGAGTGTATACTTCTTTTGTAAAAAGTGATATTTTAAAATCCATTCATATGATGTCTGAAATCCTTAAACGTCCACCTTGCCCTAAGGGTTTTTATACAGTATATAAGGTGCCTGATCCAGTCCTGTAACATTAATTCCTCTGAAGTACTGTGTAACTGGAAATCCATACCTGAAACTTTTTTTTCCAGTGACTAAAAGCAAAGTATTTTTAAGCAAAAAATTTCAGTATACTGTTTTCATCTAAGAAATGCACCATCAGATGGCAGAAGTTTTTGTATAAGACAGTAGACACGTTGACAGTTAACTGTTTCATTTAATTCAATTTGTTTACTTTTTGTTTAAGATTAAAAATAGATTCCTAACATTTTGTGCTGTGAAGAAATGTCAATTTAATGGACAAAGTCCCAACAGATTTCCTAGTCAAACACTATAAAATGTAAAAACTTTAGTGAGGAGATAAGATTGCTTTGTAGGCAGTGGGAGAAATACATTCCAGTTTTCATTTTGGCTGACCACTTTGTTAATGGCCCTCTCTTCAAATGGTTCTACATATTTTTTTAAATACAGATATTGAGATCAGTAAATTTAATAGACATGAATGAATTATATAAATGTTGTCTAGTAAGTTAACATACTGCAAATATACAGTATCTACACTAATTCTGAAACTGTAAACAATAACCCATATGCTGTTGCTTGGAAGAATGTTTATACACTATAGAGAGGAAGGGGCAATTAACTTTGATCTGTCTCAGAAGTGCCAGAAAAGGGACAATACAAATGTCACACCAGGTCTTAAATCCTCGGTACCTTATAAGCGCATTAATTTCCTTCCAATGATGTCCCATATTGTTGAGTTACAAATGATAGCACTTTTTTAAAGTGAATAATGAATGAATGTAAAGTAAAAAACCTGAATGTTTACATGTTAAATGCCAGTAAAAAATAAAACATGTTGAATGCATAAGCAAATCCCCTTTATTATGAGACACCTAAATCAGTTGCACAGAACTACTTCGTCACACCATTCCTTGAGTAGTCTCTGTCCATGTGCAGTGATAGTGTTTTAAATGACTTCAGAACAAATACTCCAAGGTCCCTTATTAAGATAGTGAATTTCAAGCAAAGGTTTAATGTTTTTTTTCTATATCATCTAATGCTTTTTGCATTTACAATGAAGAACTATCAGTGGCTTCTTTTTTAAAAATGAGAGGAAGACGAGCGTGGGAAATCAGCTCCACATCAAATAGGGCAATTGTCTGGGCAGAGCTCGATTGTGGCTGTGAAACTGTGGAGCTCTTTCCCTTGGCACTGCCAGCTTGTCAGTTTACATAACCGAGTAGTTAGTAATGCTCCTGCTGTTCAGTCATTAAGAGCTCAGGGACAAGGGCTACAAACGCCACATGAAAAACTTCCCAGGCAAGATCTAGGTATCAAAAATAAGGAATAATGAGGCACAAAATCTGATTGCCTTTTACAGACTTTTAAATTGCGTCTGTTTTACGTAATGCTCTAACTGCAGTGAAAGGAAGAGTTGTCTCTCTTTCCCCTTTGGCAGTTTTAACTTTCTTTAACGTAAGTAGACATAGCTAAACAGACTAATTTCTTCTGTGCTTTTACAAGGCAGGAATCATTAAAAGCTCAAGTGAACACAAAGACAGAAATAACAGTGTGTAAATGTTATTAACGGAAAGAAATGTTATTACATTTCTGGTAACAGGAATCATTTAGTTGAGATTCTTTGCAAGTCCACCTTCTAATAACATGTGAAACAGGGCCACCTCTTATTTTGTGTACTGTATGATCATGCTGTGCTGTTATTCTTATGGTATTTAAAAAGTATTTTTGTGTCATTTAGATTATTTGTAAAAACAATGAGGATTTCTTTATATGACAACTGACTAATCACTCTATCCTATTTTAAACTAACTCCCTGTACTGGAATTAGTACAGGGGATGTATTTGGGGAGTACACCCAAAACATTTTTGAATATAGGTTTGAACCTCATTTTGAAAATTCATCTGTAAGGCAGGATTTGTTGTGGTTCTTGAATAAAAATAAGTGTTTTTTAAAACTTAAAATGACGTGTTGAACTCACATCTAGGGTTAGATCATTAGACTACTTGTAGTGATGATGTTCTTTTTCTTCTTTGTCTCTAGTAGCAAACTGAGAAAAACAGCAAACTGAGAAAGGAAGTAATTGTTAGCCATGTCTACTATTCACTTTGAACTGCCGAATCCCTGGTGATTTTTCCCAATCTATATGAAAATTAAAATCTTCCACAGAGAATTCAAAGCCGGGGATATACGTTGAGTAGAAATCTTTTTGAAATTAGTAACAACTTTCTTCATTTTGATAGAAATGTTTAAAAGGTGATGCTCAAAAATTATTGCCTTGTTGGCTGATATTCTGCTCTCTGTGTGCTCTTGAATGTTCAAAGAGAATCTCGGTTTGAAAGTGTGCTTTAATACCCTTGTTTTCTCAATCAGGGAATTAAATTGGGTTGCAAATACTACCCAAGCTGGAAGGCCAAGATGCAGATATATCTGTCCTTTTTTCTTGAACATCTTATCAGAGTCATTTAGAATACCTAGATATCAAGAAAAAAGGAAATCAAAATGTACATTGTTAGCATAAAATATTGCCATCTTCAATTAAGCAGACAGTAAACAGTGTCCTGGACACCCATTAGCTTTATTCACACTAATCTTCTTTTGTGAATTCATAAATCTTTATTAAGACTTACATACAGTATCTATTCACTGGGGAAATTTATCCTTGTCCCGTTTTACAGAAGTTTACTGTAGACATTTTGCTTGTAGCTTTGCTGTTTGCTGTTTTGCACCTGTAGCTTTGTGAATTAACAATGCTAGTGCGATAACTTCTTTATCGCAGTTGTACTTTGTCTCTCTTTACCTTTTTTTACAATTTGCTGAGCTTTTTGATGTGGCACAACAAAGGCAAATGGTTCTATTATCTCTTTTGTCTGACATTGCGTTGTTCATCACTAATATACAGTAGCCTACATCATTTTTGTAACCATAGAAAAGAAGGATAAATCAATAACAGTGGGGTTGAAATGACTTGTTCACAATCTGTTGATTTCACTTTAGGGAAATTTTCAAGGAGAAGTTGTTCTGTTTCCTAGCATTCTTTCAAGCATTCAGTCAAGCCAGTCTGAAGAGCAAAGTCAGCAACGCTGGTTATATTATCTGCTCTTAGATGATTGCAGATTTAATGTTTGGGATTGACAAAGGGGCTTGACTTGCTTGCGAAACGTGGGCTGTGTACAATTGTACCTTTTCTCTGATATTCAGGTGAGTTGTTTTCACCAATATCTTGAGGCATTGCAGACTAGAAATGGCAGACTTTGCCTTGAAATCCTCCATGTTGCAATTGACCTAGATCTCAGCAGATATCCAGAAGGGTCATTGGGTTCATGTGGAGTACAGGAGAACAAGAATATGTGGTGCACTCCAGGGCTTGCATACTAACAGCTGACTGAAAAGGTTGGTCATCTGACTCTCACGCAAAAACACAAGATTTACTACAATATCCACCAAAAATATGCAATTTGCTATATGCAAGGAAGACTCCTTCCCAGACAGATTTCTAAAACACAATTTTATATTAATACAAAGCAATTGTCCTGATTTGAAGCCATTTTCAATATTTGTTTTAAATGAACAAGAAACAGGTACAATCTTCTTAAAGGTCCTTGTTGAAGAGATGAAAATTCTTATAAATTCCTGCTCTTCAGTTAGAATTTCTTTTTAACATTTGTGTTTTAAAATGCAGGTCAGCAACATATGATTAATCAAGGAAAACAAACTGTGCTCCGACTTGGAGTATTGAAATGTTGAACATATTTTCCTGCTCTTGATACTCTTCGTAAAACGTTTACTTACATTGTGCCGTTAAAGATGCAGAATATTATGCTATTTTGTATTTTAAACACAAACATAGGGATTATTTTTAAATAATACTTAAGTAATATACTGTAGAGTTTGTATTGTTATTGTTGTATTTGGATATTTGCAAATGGAGTGTTTTCCTCCAGTGTGATGTGAGTGATATGTCCCCTTACTGTGTCTGAATTAAAAAATAAATAAATGCAGAGGCAACACACAGGGTGCAAGCGCCCCCTTGTGTATGCAGACTAAATTGACACTCACTCAAGAGGGGCAGTAACGACAATACAAGCATTCAGACCATGGAGGTATTAAGCACTATAAGGCCAAATACAGGATAATGACAATAAAAGGATATAAGCACGTAGCACATTGTACTATACTAAAAATTAAACACTTTAAAGATGTTTTTTCTTTGATTTTTATCTGAATATTTAAGGAAGGTTTTCACCTCAATGCGGAAATCACATTGTTGAAGAGAGGTAATTTTAAGTTATGAATCTGTATTTTGAACGTTTGAAAAATAAATTTTTCTGTTCCTGACAGCAAACTTTTGGCTTTTTCTATTTCTTTCTGTGGCCAATGGGAACAAAACCTTCTCAGATCCATAACTGGCCCCAAAACCAGCAGGTCTGCCCTTTCCACCTGTCAGTCAGAAGCATTCTTGTTAGGGTTCTGAAATCTGCCCATGTCTGTGTCCAGGGTGTGGTCTCCATGGTGCCACAACAGGTTCCTCTGATCAGCTTCCCATTAACTGCTCTGCACATAGCCTATTGCAAGGTTCATTGCCAGTTGAAAACCGGACTGTGTTTGACACCAGAGTGGAAAGTTAGTGCGACATTCAAGATGTGAGAACAAAAGATGTACTAATGGCATACTGTACATATACATTTGTCCATGACTAGCAACATCAGAAACTAAATATTAGATCTTAACAACAGCAGACAGACATTGCCACAACATTTAGGATTTACAGGATTACAATTGTTTGTCTAATATTCCTGGATTAACACTCTTTGGCCTATAGCACCA